CTACTACTACTACTATACTGCTACTAAGAGGTAAGAGGTAGCAGTAACAGTGGCAGGAGGCGGAGGAGGAGGCTGAGCAGGAGCAATCGGAGTAAGGGTAGGGGCAGGAGTAGGCGAGTAGGCCAGCAGGATTAGACATGGCAGCGCTTGTTGGTTTCCTTATGGTTGTTGCTGTTACACTGTTGCAGGCCGTGGCAGTGGTAGTAGTGGCGGTAGGGCGGTAGTAGCACAGCAGCAGCGGCGGCGGCCAAACCATAAACAATATATCAGAGGTCACTGTCTCCGCATATCAGGAGATCTTGGTCGTTCACGTGCTGATGCCAATCTCAGCCACGGTCCCCAGCATCCTTTGGCAGGAGGACAACAAGGCAGAAACCCCGAGCCTGGAACAGTGGCAAAACCCTGGAAGTCGGAGTGGTTTAAGTTGGAATTCGCTGCTGAAAGCATGTCTGTGTTCCTGTGGATGTACCATACGCGCGAGAACCCGTCATGTGAGTTATGTCTTAAACATTCTATCATGGCTCAACCTGTTCGATGCTGCAGCAGTCCGACACAAGAGTGCCGCGTCATGCTGGAGAGCCGTATGCCAGCCTCGGCAGCAGAGAAGCTTTAGACCAGGCTTGAACTCCTTCGCCCGCCAAAACCACCGCAGGCGAGCTCCTCCACGCCTGGGCCTGGGCCTATTCCAGAACTGCTCCCGTACGTGGACTCGCTGATGAACCGCTTGAGGATCTGTTTGGAATGACTCTCTGTCTTTCTGGCATCTCACAGCGGCAATAAGACCACGACGCACGTGCACCTAAAGCTACTCCATTCTTGGACTCCGAGCTTTCAGCTTTGGAATCGGTGAGCAGGAGCAAGCTGTCCGAGTTGCAGCAGCAGGAGGCACAACACGCCATCAATGTGGAGGACTGCCTCAAACCCATCACCCCCATGCAAAGCCGTCCATAGCCGCTATCCGTCCTTCAGCGCCCGAGGGCGAAGCACAACCCAGACCAGCACAGGTAATGGGAGCTAATACTACCCATCAAAATCTACTAGTGTTTCTGAACACTCCGCACATATTGATGCTAGAATCTATTCCAGATTTTGATGTTGAGTGGTTCTGCCCTTGCATTTGCAGCGCAGGGCTCGCTGGAACTTGTCCGCCAACCGACCTCTCCGAAGAGCCCGACACGGAGGTCGTGGAATGTGCTTTCAGACCCTGGAACTTGGGACGAAGAGTTGGGAGCCGGCAGGTCAGTGTTCCAAGGAGGCTGCTGCCCTAAGAAGTCGGGGGAGGATCTTGTGACAGCATACACCCAGCCCCCACAGACAGTGTCGTGAAACTGTGCCGAGAGATGCCTGGAGGCGGGCTTCAGACGTGGGGCCCATGAACCCCGCGACAATGCCTATCCTCCCGACCGAGCTCCTGAGCTGCAAACCGTGGGCTTACGGACTTACAGGGCAGGGAGAGGGAGAGAAGGCTACGCTTCAGTTTCGTGAGTTTGTCCAAAGCCCCAAGCCTCCTAACATTTCACCGAGGCTGTTGAAATCCCAGTGGACACGGCAATTGAGTTCAGGCACGGAGATCAATGATGAAGTCAGTCAGCCGAGAAGACTGTGGGCCTTAGAGATGTGCATACTGTTCACTACTATTACTTGGAGGTTCATGGGTAGTTATGAGTGGGGTTATAAGTAGGGTAACTATAGTTATAACCCATATTAGGGGATTTATAGCCCTACTTATAACTACCCATGAACCTCCAAGTATTTTGCGTGCCTTACGGTGAGCCGTAGACAAGAAAGGGGGGGAGGCTGTGTGCCGGCTGTGCCTTCTTGCGGTTCCGGTATTTCTTCTTGTGTAAAGGAGCGTTGATTGCACAGCCCAAATTCTAAACTCTAAACCCTAATTCCTAAACCAAAATTCCTAAACCCCAATTCCTAAACCCTGATTCCTAAACCCTAATTCCTAAATCCTAAACCCCTGTCTCAAATTTACCATTCCCGAAGTCCGCAGCCCGCCCTGGAAGGTCGAACGCTACTCGTACATCCCACAGCCTAAATCCCCTTCCCTCCACAAGAAGATGGATTTAGGGTTTAGGGGTTTAGGGTTTAGGGTTTAGGGTTTAGGATTTAGGGTTTAGGGGTTTAGGGACTAGGGTTTAGACGGTTTAGAGATCCTGAAATCCCTAAGCCCGAAACCCCGAAAGCATCAACCCCTAGAACCCTTGAGCCTCAAACCCCTAAACCCCGTAAATCCCTAAATCCTAAACCTCTACAACGTCAAAGCCCTTCTGCCTTGCCGCCTTGCCAGACTCTATCTGCTCGGAGCTTCCCGACTTGGCAGACCTATGGGGTGCCAGAGAGTTGCCTGGCTCTTCAACGGTATTAGAGATGGACAGTACAGTACATATTCTAGTACGAATACATGTCACAGTAGATATTATGGTGTAGGCCTAGTTCCGGAGAGCCTTGCGGGGGATTTAGATGTCCTCAGCCTTAGACCGTTTGACCTTCTGAAACTCTCTGGAATGCTAACTCAAGAGAGTCAGAAAGCCCATTCCACGCAACCATGATCTGGGCATCCGACTACAGTGACTACATGGCTCTTCAATTCAGAATCCATCTCGGCTTGATTCTGGGTTCCACACGCAAGCTTCGTCCAATAGCTCGAGCAAGTATCAGGATCAACCCGCACACAATCGCACACATCTTGAACAACAGGATCAACATCATGATCATGAACGGCATAGTCATCCTCACTTCCCTCGATAGCAGTCGCCACATATGTGCAGCTATCGCTTAGGGAGTGGCACGAGAACGAGTGTCAAGTACAGAGGCCGGTGATGATGGCGGGCTCCACACTCAGCCTCGACTTCTTCGAGGGCTCTGCTGGGGCGCGGCGTCCGAGGGTACTGGAGGTGGCGGAGAACCGCTGCAGGCCCTGAAACGCTAGCCGCAAGTCGTGCAGTGGAAAAGGACGGCAACATCCAAGTACAGCGACGACGAAGACCGCAACAGCAGCAGCGCCGCCACCACCACGACCACCACCAGCAACAACAACAATAACAACAACAGCAACAACGACAACGACACCACCACCGCCGCAGCAACAGCAACAGCAGCAACAGCCGCGGCAGCAGCAGCAACACCAGCACCAACTCTACCACCAATAACAACAAGAAGAATAACACACATGCAACACAATAACAATAACACCAGCGGCAACACCACCACCACCACCACCACCACCACCACCACCACCACCAACAACAACAACAACAACAACAACAACAACAACAACACTAACACAACAACACTAACAACAACAGCAACAACAACAACAACAACAACAACAACAACAGCAGCAGCAGCAGCAGCAACAACAACAACGACAGCAGAAACAGCAACAGCAGAAACAACGATACTACTACTACTACTACTACTACTACT